AGTCCAACTGTGAAATCTGCGCTTCTCTATCAATGGCTCAGCAGGAATGTGCCCACGAGACAATCGATAACTGACTGGGCGGCGGGGAGGGGCGTAATGAATGACAGGGTGGGACTCCCCCAGAAGAACCAGAACTTACGCACCGCGCACAAAAGACGCCATTTCTACTGACATAGCTAGGGAGAAAGAAGAGACTTTGGATTTGACTCAGATATAGCGACTGCCATTACTGGGCATGTGAATGCTATCGCCGCCCGGTTGTTTGCTGGAGGATGCTCTGCTTACCCCTGCTTGCGTGCAGGCTGGCAGCGGAGGGCCACTTCAGTGGTTAATAATGGCTTGTCGTGTTAGCCCATGCAGCAATCCTGGTTAGTCGTGCATGCACGTGGAGATGCGTTGCAGCACAAGCTGCAGCGAGGTGCGTTACGACCCGTGTGAATCTGTTTTCTCTCCCCTGGACCCAGGCCAATGGGGCGACGGTTCCAGGATGCCTTGTGAGTGGAGAGGGGGCCAATCGCTCTGGAAGCATTTCAGCTCCGTTGCAGGTCACGGCCGTCCTAGGATAAGACTGAGGAATCACGCTATAACAGTGGTACACATGCTCTGTCTGAATTTGTGCATGCGTCCAGGCGGCCTACTGAGGGCCACGTCAGTGTTTAACAATTCTCTATAGTGTTAGCACATGCAGAAATATGGCTTGGTTGAACTTGACTGCTAAGTTCCCATGCAGCACTAGCTGCAGCAAGGCGCACTGCAGCACATGGCAGGCGCATCCTGTAAAGCGCGCCTTCTGGCCCTATTAAATGCCACAGGCGAGCCCTTGAAACCAGGAAAAGGACTTAAGGTAAGAGTTTCCCCTACAGCAGCTGGCTTCCCTCCTCAGTCCTCCGGCATCGTGCTCGTTCATCTTAGGGCCTGCGTTTGCGGGGGAGGAAGCAGCCTAACTGCAGTTGCGGCGCACCTCGCCGCAGCTGGGATGCAAGCCAGCCTCACGTGTGAGCACAGGGAGGTTTCAACGATGCTACCATTACTGCATGCTCTACCTGAGTATACACCTATACAGCGCTTGTATTTGCTAGCAGGCTGCCTATCACGGGGGTGAATGCTGCTGTGCTAACTGCATGCATACCACTCTAGATATCCTCTTCGCATCATCCCAAGGCCCTCGGCACGCTGTTCCCAAAAAGCCTGGAAGATTGACGTCAGCTGCTTTTAGGAACCCTGACGAAGTTGGTTGGCCCGATTGCAGCCCTTGACCTCCACTGAGATTGCACCAAACGTTACTGGTTACCGTCCTTTTACTGTTCCCACGATAGTTAAACAATGATTACGCCTGAGATTCAGGATTTAAGGGCGAGAATATATGGTGTGTCACACTACATCGGGAAGACTTCCTGAACTGGTATGGCCCGAGACGGACGCTGGTACCCTGGGGATGCTTCGGGCTGCGAGAGTTCTGTACGAGGCAGGCACGCGTACGTGGACAGCTTGGCGTGCTTGTCGAAGTTCTTGAGTTATAAAAATTACCAAGTATGTAAATGAGTCATGGAAGCTGACAACTGGACGTCAAGCGCTTGGTCTTTCGACACAGCTCCCCACCAGTGTCAAGAAAAGCGTATGCAGCGGTCTGGTGGGTGTTGTGGGACCCAAAGCGCCTTGAAAAAGTCAAGCGGAATTTCGCAGGCTTTTTAATTGTTCCTTCCCTCAACATAACATTTTTCTTGTCGACGGCGACCTTGTGCATACCAGGCTGGTTCCTTCCCGCCAATCCGCTAATCATCTCCGCCCCGTTCTTTGCGGGGTTGTCTGGCGAGTGGCCACGGAGAGACAAAGTAGCTCGTTGCGGGGGCTGTACCTGTGTTTTTGATTCCCATCTTTCTAATATTACGCCGCAAGAAGCAAGAAACGCCGAATCCTCTGGCGGATAAACGGGCTCCTGGCTACCAGTCCTACCGCGCCCCGATTGTGCTGAGCGTTTCGATGCCAGTTTGGATTTCTTTTTTGAGGTCCAAAAAGTAGTGATAGAAGTATTTGTACTTCTGCTTAGCCTTTTTTGGTTCGCAGCGGCGTCCTGCGGGAGACCCAGCGTTGTTTTCCATCCCCGTTTTCCTGCTGTGCACTTGCGTGTCTCTCTTGGAGGGCTTGAGGAGGCCAAGCCCAACATTCTTTGAAAGAGCCGATAAGTCCGATTCCTGGAAGCATTTTGGCTTCCTGCGCGTGTTCGGTTATTCGCCCAGTGCACTTGAAGTTGCCCTCATTCGGCGAGGAACTGAGCGGGTGAACATGCGATCCACTGCCTCGCCTGCCGTACTGTTACTGGTGCTCTTGCACAGCTGGGAAGCTCCACAGGCGAGGGCGGCTGTAGCACCACAGGATGCAGTGACTACGAGTGTGGAGCAGTTGGCCGAGGTGAAACCTCAAGGGGGTGGATCGTCGCTCGGTGTTGGGCATGATGCTGAAGGTGCGCTACAGGGTAGCCCGGACGGGATGCCGTCGGATGATGGGGTGCATAAGGCGGACTTTCGGCCTGGCGTGCGGGGTCGGAAGTCCGTGCTGACGGCTCTGTTGCTTATTGCGGGGTATTTGCTGGCTCATATTATGAGCGATGAACGGGGGCCCTCTGCGCTGCTTGATCCCGGGCTGTTGAACAAGCGTGAAAACGCTCACCTTGCGAGTGCCGCGGCTGTAACAGGACTGCTGCTCTCTGGACTGGGTGAACTGCTGCAGTCTTTCTTGTTGAGGCGTCAGCGGCATCTGAATTTGCCCCAACGGAGAAGAGGAATGCTTCAGATGGTCTTGGCAGGGTTTTTGTACTTGTCGTGCATTGGTGCTGTCCTTCACTTGGGGCCATTTATGGCAGACAGCGCGTTTCTAGTCCAATTCGTCAGTTTCGCAGCTGCAGGGCTCTTCTTTTGGGGCGGTGCTCTGTACTTCGATCCTTTCGGACTGGTCAATTAGTTCCCGAAGAGACAAGAAGAAGCAGTTCCTCACCGTCTACGGCGTTCGAATTGTTATTTCCTTTTCATGTGAGGACTACATCGTCAAAGCATATTTATCTAGGGGACTTGTGTAGAAACAAAACAAGAAAACCCCCGAAAACTGTACAGATTGGAGAAAAGAGTTGTCCTTATTTTATAAATTGAGGCATATTTGCATTTACGAAATGTTTTCAAATGTCCGGCCTTTGAAGCCATTGTGTACTAAGTTTTGGTGTTCCCGTGGTGGCGCTGACGCTGCTGACGCGTGCAGACGCATATGCGAAAGAAGCGACATGCTCCTACATACTGTGTGCTCTTTGCGTGGAAGTTACATCGCGTTTTCTTATAGAGTTGGCATAGCGAGCCGGGGAGAGGCATTGCTTCGCTCTTCCGTGAAGTGGCCCCGTTCCTTTGTAACGCAGGACTGCCGATTGTATTCGTTTGTATTGTTGCTGTGTAACAGCTGCTGCTGCGCTTTGTGTTAGCAGCGGGTTGAGCCACGTTAGGTAGTGCAGAGCGCTAGGGAGAGAATAGCTCGGCCACTGAGAGAGCAGACACAGAAACTAGATTAAAAGGAGTAGGAGGAACTTAGTTCTGTTCAGAGCAAGAAGAGGCAGACGTGTATGGCAGTAGAAGCAGANAAAAGGAGTAGGAGGAACTTAGTTCTGTTCAGAGCAAGAAGAGGCAGACGTGTATGGCAGTAGAAGCAGATGGGCATTTGGAAGACAGGAAGAACGAGGAGCCCATCCGTAGAGAAAGTGTCTTCCGAGAGTTGCTACCGTAGCTCGCCTTTTCCGCCTACAAAGGCTTACAGGCCGCTGCCTTCGGGTGCACCGGACGTCTCTGAGGAGATCACAGAGACTGGAGGGGCACTGTCAGGATGCTTACTCTCCCTATTTGCAGCTGCCTGTAGTACGGCTACAGCTCGGTCAGCGGTACACTTAAGGACTCTAGGAGAGGGGCGCCGCCCTCCCGATGTATACTTGTTAGCGAGGTAGAGTGGAGAGCATTGCCACTTAGAGACGACGAGGGGAATGTTCCGTTTAACCTGGAAAGAATAGTACATGGGCCAAGCAATTGGCTTCCCATACTTTGCTCCCGGGGGAAGAACGGGAACGACGACAGCGCCCTTCAACGGAGTCGTTGACGATACAGTGCACGTCTCGCATTATCTTGCTGTCCGCTCTGTTCGTGCTCCATTTTCTGAAGGCGCTCCCGCCTGTCCATGTGGAGTGCCGCAGCATAGAGCCCCTGTCGAGTGTTGCTTCCTTTCTTCCGAGTGGCAAGCGGNAACTCCCCCGGACACACACCACAAGGCCAAGCCGATCTGGTCCTGCATTTGCGCTTCCGTTGCACCTCTCGTTCGTCTTGAAATTCCTACAGTTCTGCTAGACGTCGTCTTAACCCTAACTCCCAACCCTATATTGCATTGGGAAGGCCCTGTAACTCCCGGGATGAGTTATTTATTCCTCCAATGCCCCTCTGCAAGCAGGAAACGGCTTGAAAACGACTAGCACGCCAAACGCCCCCATTTCTCGTTGTACCTGGTGGTGTCGGTCAACCCCATGCCTGATAACGTTTTCCTTTGTAGTCCCTAGAGGCGAGAAACTTCGCACGTATCCGGGGAACAGCTCCTTATGTAACCAAAACAAAAAACCAGCGTCCCCACCGTACAGGAAGGGGACTCAAGGCCGGCTGCAACAAAGAGCAGCCCCCATTCACAGGTCCACTGCTAATCCCTCCCCAGCCGACGTAAAGGGTCATCGGGCTCCGCCACACCAGCAAGACGCATCAATAATCCCAATGACTGCGCCTACGCCTTACTGTAGCTGCGTGAGCAGCCAGCCGGGGGAGCAGCGCATGCGTGCAGCAGAATTCCGCCACAGCACTGACCAGCAGNGGTATGGAGGCTTCCTGTTGCTGCTAAATTCATCAGAAGGCTGCCTTAGGGAGCAGCCCAGACCGTGTTGTTCCCCATGGAAAAGGAGCAAGAGGGCCGCCGAAACACGTTTTTTCCGGTTTCCACCATCCAGATGCCAGATTAAAGGTGCACCTTCAAACTTTGAGCTCCTCCCGAAACAGAACTAGACACAAAACTGGATCCTACTCCCCCCATACACAAAAGGCAAGAATAAGGACCACGACAAACTCGTACCCCCGCATGCCTGGAATAGGCATGTAGAGGCACACACAAAGTCAGCTACTATCAGCTGCTCTTCAAACGACCAAACGATGCAACAGCGAAAAAGTGGATTACACGGCCACGGCCGAAAATCATTCGGAAGAAAACAGCAAGGGGGAGGAAGAGAGACGAGCAGCAAGACCAGAGGCATACAGTCAATTGCTATACCGAAACTCAGCGTGCGGCAGTCCAGCGAAAGCAAGGGGGGCTGAACGTGTGGCTTGCGGCAGAGGTTTCAACTGTCAGGTTCTTCTAGAGCAACGCGATGGCTGCCTGCAAGAGCAACGCGTCAACGTATTCTTTTCTTGAAGCACATTCTTGCACCGCATCTTGCACTGCGCGAAGAGCAGAGAGCTTGATGCGTTGCGCCACTGCGCGTTTTTCCCTTTCCTCCTCCGTGATGCTTTTCCATGCTTTCTCCACCTCTGCACCCTTCCAGTAGTCCGCAACCTCGTTTACAAAGGAACGATCATGGTAGCCGGATTGTCGTTCATTGCTCAACTCGGCCTCAAGGTCGACGAGGTAGCGCGTTGCTTCCTCCAGCACGCACTCTGTCTGGGTCTGGGCCCGGCGCGCCAACTCCCCGGCGTAGGCGCTGGCTCCGGTTTCTCCATATATCGACTCGCCGTCGCCTTCCCGCCGCTCACTGNTGTCCTCTTCCAGCCGCGTCCTGGCCGCACCCAGCAAGTCCGCAAACCTTAGCGCCAATTCTCTTTTGACGTCCGCTGGCACTTTGCTTTTGGCCTCCTTCTCCTCAGCCTCACTTATTTGGTCTGACAAGTCTTCTACATGCGTGTTGAGCCTTTTCAAGAAGACGGAGAACTGCACTCCATCTTCTGTCGCTGCTCCCGCGTCAGCTGAAGCCGGCACGTCCGACGATTCCCCGCTGCTCTGCCGATCGTCTTTCGAGCTTGGTAAGTACGGGATCTTGGTCTTCGCGTCTTCGTCCAGAGGAGCGCTGTATTCCCAAAATTCTGGCACCATAGAGGAGCGCTCATCGATGCCCCTGAGGCGCTCAGAGGTGGCATCCAGCAGCGCTATGAGAAACGCACTCCTCACTTTGTGCGCAGCCACTGCCTCGGGTTCGGCATCGCTTGGGGGCGCCACTGATCGTACTCCATTAATAAGCCGGGCAAAGTATTCAAAGACGGTCCGCACTCCACGAGTCCCTTCCGGCACAAACATATACTCCGCCGCAAACTGATTCTTCGTCGTCTCGCTTGCACTTTCCAAGCTTGCCACAATGCCCATAACGTGGAAGGACATGTCATCGACGACATTCAAAACTTTATCCTGAGTGAAAGGTCCTGGAATTGCATATACTGGGTCCCCTTGTCCC